TGCGTGTGTGTGTGTGTGTCTTTTGGAAACTCCTTTATGCCAGCCCTACTCAGAATCTGTGTAGCTGCCTTTCATAAACCTGAGAATGTAAAAGTAGAAAATCTGCTTCTCTTATCTCATGAGAAATACGATATAACCTTAAGACAACGTGGATAGATAATCAACCAAAAAGAACTTTGTGCACTCAAATTGTGTGTGTGCGCATGTGTACATTGTGTGTTTCACTTCAAAATAGTCCTATTAGGAAAATGTTCTGTCCAATGGGGATACCACTGTTGAAAATAAAATGCTGTCCTAGATCCTGTAAGGAAAGATTCTAGCTTTTTATCTTTTTTTTTTTTTTTTTTTTTTTTTTTTTTTTTTTTTTTTTTTTAATTATTGGTACCTCATCCTGAAAATGCAAAATTTGCATTTGAGACAGGGCAATGCTAAAGAAACAAATACGGTGGAATGTCTGGTGGAATTCTAGACATTGAAGAATGGATGTAAGATGCTTATCAGATGGGGGTTGGGCTATTCCCTGGGGCCTTCAGGCAGTACTTTGAAGAAAATTGCCTCCTTTATGACTTATTTTAATGTCTTCCATATTGTAAAAACTGCAGTTGAGGATGTGAATTGTTACTATTTTTTAATGCTGAATATTACATGGAGAGGGAGTCATAAGTTGTTTATTCTGTTTGGCTCAAACAGTGGGGTATGGCTATAGGCTGATGAGACCAGATTTCTTGTGTAGTGCTAAATTACTTTTGAGGTCACATTTTCTGATCTAGAATTCATCAATACTGTAGAATATCTGGCCTTTAAAAGTCACAATCTCCCTGCAATTCACCTAGAAGAAAACCAGGACTATAATTTGGTCTTTGCCTAGATTATTGGTGTATGCAAGGGCAGCAAACTTCTCTCTCTCTTTCTTAAAATATGAAGTGTAGTAAAAACAAAAAAAAATGGAGTGGGGGCGCCTGGGTGACTCAGTCAGTTAAGAGTCTGACTCCGGCTTATGTCATGATCTTGTGGTCCGTGAGTTTGAGCCCTGCGTCGGCTCTGTGTTGACAGCTCAGAGCCTGGAGCCTGTTTCGGATTCTGTCTCCCTCTCTCTCTTTGCCCCTCCCCTGCTTATGCGTGCTCTCTCTCTCTCTCTCTCTGTCTCTCTCTCTCTCTCTCAAAAATAAATAAACATTGAAAAAAATTGCAATAAAAAAAGTGGGGTAAGGTGAGCCACCTAATTGGGAAGATGAATCTGAATCCAAAAATACTTGTTTCTCCATTTATCTGTTTTTATCTTAATATATTTAAATCTGAGTTCATCCATCTATAAATGCATATAATAAGAGCAAGCTTACAGGGTTAAAAATACCTATGTGTAAATATCTACATGTGGTAGACATTTGAATTAATCACTTTGGTTAAATTATTATTCACTGTCTAGTGAATGTGATATTAAACTAATGTATGGACTAATGTTAATTGATTTTGAATCAATTCTTTAAAAAAAATTTTTTTTTACATTTATTTATTTTTGCTAAACAGAGAGAGAGAGAGCGCACAAGTGGGGGAGGGGCAGAGATAGAAGGAGACACAGAATCCAAAGCAGGCTCCAAGCTGACTGTCAGCACAGACCCCGATGCGGGGCTTGAGCCCACAAACAGCAAGATCTGACCTGAGCCGGAGTTGGACGCTTAAACCGACTGAGCCACCCAGGCGCCCCTAATTTGAATCAATTCTTCATGGTAACTTTAATATGTGGATTTATAAATGAATAAATTTTAAAACTTCTATTTACTTTAAAATAAACAGTGAATAAAAAAAACCTATTGAAATAATCTAGCCTATTGCTCTCTCTCTCTCTCTCTCTCTCTACCGCTCTGCTATTCTTCCTCCGTCTCCACACACACACACACACACACACACCTGGTATACTAGAAGAATTCATTTTACTTAAGTTTTATTTACATGTAAAAACAATGTTGATATAAAGTTCTCATTTTTTCTCAGATTTCTCTCAGAGAAATTTAACTAATGTAACTTCTAAAATTTCTTTTTATGTGTATCATGAATCCTTCTTATTCTCATTTCTTATGACCAAACATGAAAATAAAGACATAAAACACATGCACAAAATAAAATTCAAAGCTGAAAATAAATGGTTTATTTTTAAAAGAAATTTACAAATCAAATGGAAAATGGAAAATACAAAAGTTTATGAATAAAATAAAAAAGATAATAAGATAATCTTAAAATATTAAAACCTATGGAAAGAAGTGGATAATTAGCAAATGGAATGATGCTTTTGTTTCCCAATACAATGGAGTGTTTTTTTTATTAGAATCCTAGGGAATCATCTAAGTTACAATACAGAAGATAATTAAATAAATTTTATATGATTGTGTAATTAGACATTTTATATGTCATGGTTCTTTGTTAACTTGGGTGCAGAAGATCTTTGTATCATATATCTAAAACCATTAAGGTTTTTTGAAACAGTGAAGCAAAAATTGTATTTCCTCATCTCCCCCCAAAATTTTGTATGGGGTATCTTCGGGGACATAAACAAAACAAAAACTATAAAACACAATTTTCTGCGAATGAGACATATCATTTAGATTTGAGATGCTTTCGATTTTTGCATTTGATAAAGTTTAATATCAAAGACCAGTATATAAATATGAAAAATAATATCAAGAAGTTTCTAGGGGTACCCAAAAGCACTTGGGATAAATATTGAATCCGAAAGTGCAGAAAGAATGCAGCGTTGGCAAGAGAATGGCCACCTGTGAGGGGACTGTCCTCCATTACCTAAAACTCATTCAATTGACACTCAAAGCTTGTCTAGTGTCAACTCTCTCCTGGTCTTGGGGGTGAAGGTTAACAGGAGGAGTAATTGTGGTTTGTAATAAAGAAAAGCATTAATAGGCAAAAAAGATCCAAGGATGGCTCTATACCATAGTTTTATAGTCAAGAATTCATGAAGTTTTTGTTTTCTTCAATTAAAAATAATACCTTCACTATAGAGAAATGATTTGTTATGTACTTTAGTGCTGCAGAAGGGCACTTAAACATAGGATATAGTTTTAGAATTGGTTATCAACATTCATAACACTGGGATAAGGGTTCCCTTAAATTATGGATTGTGGTGTCTCATAGGATACTCATGCTTTTCTATAGGTATTTTATTTTCCTTTTCTCTATTACCCAACAGGCCAAGTAGAGATTTATCTCCCCAATAGCTGAATGCTGAGATTACCACAGCCTAGTCTCTAAGTGTGTGTATGTACTTATGACAAAGTAGATGATCAGTTAATTCCAGAAGTCTGGTCACTGCCTAGCAGTGACCATAGAAGCTCTGTGCCTAACAGATTCCACTGCATCCATACCAAATGTAGCAGCAGTAAGTTATTTATACTAATTTAAGGAAGGCAATAACTAACAACAACTACTCTGTGAGCTATGAATTTACAAATGATGTACAGAAAACCATGACACAAAAGCACTACAGTAAAAGCATAATTTAAAAACTGGACAAGAGTTCCAGTGGTTTGTAATATTGTGTCAATAGCTATTTAAAGTCACATGCTTGTGTACACATGTGTGTGCATATATACACATATATATACATACGTATACACACACATATACATACATATATACACGTATATAATCCATGTGTATATATATATACACAATGTAGATATACATACATTTATAACTCATGTGTTTGTGCATATATGTGTGTGTGTGTGTATGTGTGTGTGTGTATTCACCACTCTGTAAACTCTGGACTTAGTTTTCACTTTTCCAAGTCCTAATAACAGTACAATTTTATTTAAAACAAAAAAAACAAGTTTCATGGAAGACACTGACTTGTTTAGGATGAATGTATTAACTGTACTAGTGAATAAAATATCGAAAATACTGGGTGGTCCAGTTAATTCTCTTAGAATATTAATGTTAAAAGCAACTCTCAAGGTCACTGAGTCTAACTTCCACATTTTACAATGGGAGACAGAAGCGAGTGAGGAGAAATCACTTTCCTAATATTCACATTAGCAAGGCTGAGATTAAAAGACAAATTGCTGAACACCCTGTTCTGTGCTTTTCTCACAAGCCAGCAAATGCCCTAAAAGCATTTTGCTGTTATTTCACTCTCTATTAGCACCATTAGGAGAAGCTTCCTGTCAGACTAAGCCAAGGGTGGGGCCACCTGCAAACTCTGGTTGATAGGAGGCACCATAGGCAGGGGAGATGGAGTGACAAATATGGGTCAACCTACAGATATCCAGGAGTTTACTGAAATAAAAAACAAACAACAAAAAAAACGTATGGTATATTTTTCAAGTTGACAAATAGGACATCAATGACCTGAGAAGGAGGACACAAGGGATGTAGTAGAAACCACAGGCGAGCCCTTTAAAACCATCATAAGGAACACTTTCAGTTACGCTGCTGCTCTGTATAGTCCTAAAGGGGTGCCCGTCTGGCCTTGAGGGCACGCTGGACAACACAATGAGCCGAAGAGCTCCTTGTCCTCAGCTAAAACAAATGTGGGCCTTCATTCTCTTTTTAACTGATGAGTAAAAATGAAAAGTACTTGGAAACTCACTATGACCTTGTTAACAGCTGAGTTATCTTTAAGGGGTCTTGAAATCCACAGCCAAAGGCTGCTCCACAACGTTAAGGTGATAAAACATGAGAAAGGGAATAGAGACGTGGAACAGGGACGGAGGAGGCAGAGAGGGGAAATTCGCATCAACTAAGTCTTTGCCTGCAAAGAACATAGTGCCATCAGACACTGGGGACGGACTGGAGGCACTACCATTCTAAACCTTAGTATTGCCTGAGGAAGCACCACGACCAGTCATAGTCACCCTGAATTTATCCCTCCGGGGAGGCTTGGACAGAATTGTTTTCTGTCTGTGAAACAATACGTTGGGAACAAAGAAAGGGGACTCTCTTCCTTCCCGGAGTGCCCTTGGTTCTTTTTACCCATTTTGTTATTGTCCCTTTCATACATTTTTCAAGGATGCATAGGAGAGACCCTGCTCGCCACTTCTAGACCACCTGGAGCTTTTCTTCACTGGCATGGCCACCTGCAGCTGCTTCCAGAACCTGCCCTGTGGATACTTGGATTTCTCCCCTTTCCATTTAATGACCGTGAGCACCGTCTTAGCCCTCTTCAGCTCTTTCACCTTCGTCTCCTTCACCGCTTTGTACTGTACTAAAATGACGTTGATGTTGCCCCGAGAGGCCATGTTTTCTAGGCCAGCCTTGAGCTCCAGGAGGGCTTGGGTTCCCTGGAGCACGTAGTTGGGGCTTAGGACAACCAGGAGGCGTCTGCTTTTCTGAATGAAGCTCAAGGTCTCATCTGTGACAACTGAGAAAGAAAACACCATGGGGATTAGTGTTGGCCAAGAATTCCCCAAAAGCCTGGGGCTTGGGGAGCAAGTGTAGGGATCTTGGGGTAACAGCCTGGGAGTTGAGGTGAAACTTTTACCAAGAACGTTTGCAACAACTTAATCCTTAGATCCACTCTGTCCAATAAATGCCACACTCTTCCAAGGTACTGAAAACGATATGCACATATTCCGCCCCAAAAAAGAATTCTTAACAGGCATGAAGCCAAGTATACTTCTGTGACCTTGGTCTTCAAAAGCTTTATGAGAAATAGATGAATTGTACAGAAATCGATTTCTTCAAACCATGTGGCATGCTGCAGCCCAGTCAAATCAGCTCCTGAGCCCTTTCTCCCCAACGATACCCCATGTGGCTTCTCTCTAATGCCAGTGGGTGTTTGAAAAGATAATCATCATAGACAAAGTCATGGAAATCCAGTTCTCACCAACACAGGAAAGCAAGAGTAGGAACGTTCATTTTCTGAAAGTCCCTCTTTGTTGCCAGACTCCTGCCTGACTCAGACTGGTCTATGTCCTTAGAATAGGAACTTTAAAAAGTCTAGCTAACTGAATGGCATTTTGGCTGGCATCACATTCTCAGCTCAGCCTTCTATTCTGCTCACTGCTCTGGAGTCTAAATTAGTCCCTGGATCTTTCTCCTTAAACTCCTATCATTACTATGAAACCGTGTGTTTCAGCAGCTGCTAGCTAATGTGTCTGCCTTCACTAGCAGGCAAATACTTTCTTCAGGTCAGAAAAGAAGAAGAGGAAACAGGGAAAATGGAAATTCAGTGTAATTCTATTCTGTTATCAAGGGCTCTGATTAGTTCCTGTCACTAAATTCTTGGGAATAATCCATCTCCTCAAGGCTGCTTATCTAGGATTGTATAATCCTTTACCTGGAGTTTAAATAGGAGCCAAGTCCAGGGAATACACGAGTGTTGTGGGAAGCTATTTCATGGCTTACGATACTCCCCTAAGTAGTCATTTTGCCCCTTCACCTTCAACAGGTACAGAGGCCAAGGGGAAATATCTGCAATTAAAATTCCATGTGCAGTCTGGAGGAGAATTGAGGAATAAGTAATTATGTACTTGAGGCAGTATTGCTGGAGGCAGGCCATGTATACGCATGGAAAGAGACCCAGAGGCAAAGAGGAAGAAGAGTGGCAGAGAGGATGTGGCTCACAAGGACCCACCATCAAAGCAAGATGTAAGAGTAACTATGTGGAATTTGAATCCTTCAAAGGATTGTCAACCCCTACCGGCAGGCCATTGTTATACTGTATACCTTTATATAACTTTTCACCAAGTGATCAATATTTGTTGAATGGCAGAATGAATGAATAAATGGATGAATAAGTGATTTAGGACTTTAAGTCTTAAAATGAGTGGAATTTGTCCTTTAGCTGTTCAGTCAAGTCATCATTTCCTGGCAAAATGATCCTGAGAGACACATCAGCTGCAGAACACAAGCATGATGGACTTCTAGGTGATGACAGGAGATAAAGTAAGTGGTCCGGCTAATGCAAGATGAGCGTAAACATTTAAGTCTACTTTATATCTCCATTATCCATATAATAGTTTCAAAAACATCTCAAATGGCTAACATAAACAGGATTTTAGGGGAGGAAAATCAGTTTGTTGTACTGAAGATCAGACACATTACATGCATTGCAACAGTACAAAGTTTAACGGAGGGTTTAGGAATGCTATTATGTATTTATTAAAACAGACTCAAATGGACTGTCACTTTGTATGTTACTGGGTGGATCTGAAAATTAGAGATGTACTTTTCCTTGAAAGCATTCAGCAATTCAAGTTTCTTTTTTTTTTAAACTACTAGAATATACTGGCCTTTGTAAAATTTTAAACTACATCTCAAATGTATAAGCTGATAGAAAGGAAGAAACAGACCTAAGAAAAAGGGGAATATGAATAGCATTGGCTTGCTAGAAAGCAAAAGTGAAGAAAAGGAAATTAGCAAATACCACAGAGAAAATATTCTGATTATTATGAGTGAGTACTATAAAGAGAGATTTCGTGCATTCTTTTCACAAACTCATTGTTAGTAAAATCAAATACACCTCAGCCTTTGTAAAAATGTTGTTTGAACTCAGTGTTTGTAAAAAAAAAAACCAAAAAAACAAAAAAAAACATTCTAGGGAAACTAATGCAGATTTGCTTAAACCTTCTACATATCTAAACGTGTGTAAGCAGAGCATTTAAAACTGAGGTATTTAATAGAGTTCTAATCCACTGTGCCTCCACACTTTTCTGACAATGAGTTCTTAAAACTTACAAGAGGAACTATTTTACAACCATAAATGGCACTTGAATAATCTACAACTCACAATGTAATTTTATTCCTAAAGAAGTCTCTATTACATCAAACAATTGGATGTTAAATATCTGAAGATGCCAACATAGAGCTCTGCCATGACTCTCACACCTGACCCCAAACTAAGGGTTCCCTTTGCCATTCAGAGGGTGGCATCACTTGTACTCATGTGAGATACCTACTTCCCCCAGGCAGACTGTCACGGTCAAAGATGCACAGCTTGTATCCAAATTCATTCTCCAAAACTCCACGGAGGGTCAGTAACACAAACTCTTCTTCCTCAGCATTCCTTGCGTAAGATACATAAATATCATACTCTTTCCCATCTGGCAAAAGAAAGAAAGATCGAATATAAATTAGAAGAGTTTCTCAGTAGTATTGCATTTTTTTTTTCTTAAATCAAACTTTTGCATACTAGACATTTTTCTTTTCTTTTCTTTTTTTTTTTTTTTTTTTTTTTTTTTTTTTTTTACTGTATGAATTATCTGACAGATTTCATGTGATTTCCCACCTGTGACAGGTCTCCAGGCAAAATGACTATTTTAAGGTGTAATTACAAATTTTGTCTGATGTGTATACTACTCTCATATCACTAAATTTAGTTTTTATAGTGGAGAATAAATGAGATTTGGCTCATTTGACAATGAATTAACACAATCAGGAGGCAAATAGTCAATCATAGACACTGGCAATGAATACCATACAGAAAATTTACAGTTCCTGTCCTAGTTTGTCACTCACTGATATATTAGAATTATAAATTGAGCAAAACTTTCAGAAAGTGTCTAAATTATTTATACATGAAAATAACCACAATTAAAAATATACTTCGATTTGGTGCACCTGGGTGGCTCAGTTGGTTAAACATCCGACTCTTGATCTCAGCTCAGGTCATGATCTCATAGTTTGTGAGTTCAAGCCCCTCTGTCAGCACAGAGCCCGCTTGGAATTCTCTCTCAACCTCTCTCTCTCTCTCATTGCCCTCTCCTCCCCACCTCAAAAATAAATAAACATTTGAAATATATATATATACTTAGATTCAATAAACCCATCTTTCCCAAAGTTGCCTGATTATAAACATCACCTCTCAGTAAAAATACAGGTTCTGTGTCTCTTCCACAAACCTACTGAATGAAAATCTTTATGGGCTGAGTCTAAGAATCAGTATGTTTCATTGTTCCATGCCTGTCACCAGGCAAATGTGCACTAGTGCAGTGCTTCTAAGACTTTAATGTGCACCTGAATCATCCGGGAATATTGTTAAAATGTGGATCCTGACTCAGAATAGGGGTTAGCTTAATAGCCTCCTTTTATCAAGCTCCCATGTGATGCTGATGTTGCTGGTGCATGGACCACTTTTAAGTACAAAGAGTGGACCTACACTGTCCAGTTACAGGAGACACAGCTACACGTAGCTATCGGATGCTTGAAATGCAACTGGTCTGAACTGGGATATGCTGTAAATTTAAAACACAACACATGCCAAATTTTGACATTTTGACCACAAATAATAAGATTAAAATATCACCATCAGCTTTTAAATATTAATTATACGCTAAAATAATAGTATTTTGAGTATATTGGGTTAAATAAGGTATATTATTAAAATAATTTTCACTTTCTTTTTACTTTTCCTACTGTGACCACTAGAAAATATTAAATTACATATGTGGCTTGCATTATATTTCTATTTGGACAGGCTAACCTAGACTAAACACATATTGAGCCAAGGAAACAAAATAATATACATTAGAAAGATTTTCAATAGTAAGGGCCGAAACAAAAGATAGTTAGATTAAATCTCCCAGTTATTCTAGCTTTTATCAAGTCAACATGCTTTCTGAAAAGGACAGTTGAAGGTATTTACATCAAACGTTCATTACTCACCTAAAATGGTTTCATCTGTTCCAAAATGAGCCCGGTAAAATAAGACCATCTCCAGCCAGTAAACGTGGTAAACAACAATGAGGATCACTACCAGCAGCACTGTGGCTCCAAAACCACATGCTAATTCCACTGTGTATCTTGGAGCTATCAATGGAGGGAACAACAGAGAAACAATTGATTTTTACGTGGTGATCACGCTGGCCTGTCATCCTGCAAATAGTTGGGTAAGCTAAGCAGCTGAGCCATGCTCCTGACTTGTATGTGTGAACAAGCAGAGATAACGTGATAGGGATTAAGCACTAGGTTTTAATGCCAGACTGTGTCATAGTTCTCTTTTTGTTTCCAGCACCTGACACAGGCGTTCTTAACCATTAGGTGACTTAAGGGGACTTTGATGTTACATAAATTAATACACATTAATGGCATATAAAGGGTATATTGTATTCATTTTAGCATTGGGCAGGATTTAGAAGGTCATGTCATTCAGTGCACAATCTGATAAGTGAATCTCCTTAAAAATATTTTTGAAAAGTGTGATTCCATCTTCCATTTGTCCATTTTGGGGATGGACTCCTTATTACTACCTAGACAAGACCATGAAACTGATAGAATTTTAATTGCTGGAGGAGCAGTTGGATTGAGTGAAAATCTTAATGTGTTTCCATTAGTCTTAATTCCATTTTCTTTTCAGTGCCGTTTGGAAGAAATTTAATTACCTTTCCTATAAATTCAGAAAAAAGCCTCAAAAATCTTATTTTCACTGGGCAGAAGCAGAGGAATCTACCAAATGCTAAGTATGCTTGGCTTTGAAAGTATCTCTCAGGTTTATAGTTCTAGGATACACATTCTGAAGATTAACTTGTAATATCCAGGCATGGACAGATTCCCACCTAATCTGTTTACTTTTATATGATAGGCATTTTAGCAGTTTCTTTGGAATTATCAGAAATAGAATAAGATGATTCCTGACTTCCTAGAAACTAGATACGTATTAATTCAGCCCTGTAAACAAGGTCTATTATGACGAAACCACCAGCCACTCGTCTCATTTATCATGGCCTTTTCTTCAAAAACATCAGGAAGATTTAGCTCTATGTCTTTGCTCATGCTGGGACTTCTGGTGAGAATAATGCTTTCTCTTTCTTTAGTTTTCAAGCCCATGCTCCAATGTCATTATTTCGTATAGGCTTTCCTAGAATAAAACTCGTCTTGCACCTGACATCTGCCTGGCAGCAATTTCAACTCTTCTCAATGTTTATAATTGTATTAGAGCATTTGTGTTATATTTTAATTTGTCTACAAGCTTGATTCTCTACTCTCTCTTGCTTCCCACTAAACTATACTTTTGTTGTCTTCTAGGTAAAGACTATGTCTTCTTCATCCCTCCTATCCCTAAAACACAGAGGATCTCAATGAACGTTTCCTGATATAACACCATATACTTCTGGGATATTTAAAAGAAATCTAGTCCTCCAATATCAGCAACTTCATTTGGTTGCCTTATTAGCTTGTGATAATGAAGCCTAAGTGTTTGAAGAGGGAATAGAATAGTTGGATCTGAAACACAAGTGGCTTAAATTGTGTATTAGTTGACTTGACAATTACTTATTACCATCTATTATTTGCCAGATGCTGTTGGGGACACGATGGTGGATAAGTCCAAAAGGATTTCTGCCTTCTTAGAGTTAACATTCTAATGCAAGGAAATAAATAATAAGACAACTAATGTTAGGTAGTGATCAGTGCTATAAAGGAAATAAACTAGGGTAATGTGACAGAGGTGACTGAGAGGCTGGGCTGGGCAGGAGAGGTGTATCAGGTCAGGTAGTGAGAAAAGGCTTCTTTGATCGCCTGAACATTGTGTTAAGTGCTTGCCAAGGTGAGGCACAGAGGAATTTTGTTCAAAGCTGGGACTGTTATCCAGGCTCCCTGATTCCAAAGTCCAGAGATCTTTGGAGATCTCTGCCATGAAGTTTAATTATTGATCATATACTAGTGGAAAAATCCCCTTTAAAACAGGTATCTATCCTACTGGGGAAATGGTAAGCAGCCTGGAGCTGAGCCTGAAGTTCTCTAATTAAAGGGCAGATCTTAGATTTTAAGTTCATTATCCTAAACTCGGGATGCTTATCCTATCTCAGAGATAGTATGGAACTCCGCAGTGCAGAATTATTACCAGTTATTCTTGTTCTCATTCCATGAATAATGATGTTTAAAATAAGAAAACTCCATCATCAAATGTCAAAAGCTATGTCGGTGCAGTTGTTGAGAATTTGCTAAGATCAATTTGGGTAGCTGGCATGAAAATTGCTGTGTCCTTGGTATTTCTGAGCACACGTTATGTTAACAGCACACTGGGGTAATTCCCATTGTCATCTTCATTCTTTGCTCAGTTATTCTTGCTCCTCTGGCTGGACATTTTGTAATTGTGAAAAAAAAGAGGTCAGTGAATGCACTTACCTGAAATGGATTCAGAAATATATATATATGTATATCAATAGATATCTTGCCTAACAATCAAGAGGTCAATTACCTTCATGAATTTCTCTCTGCCACATTTATTTTACTACTGCTTCTTTTCTTTCTTTCTTTTATTTTTTGTGGGGATTTTTAATTTGGTTTTGGGTCATTGAATTACATGTGTCATATTTATAGATCGCATTTTGTGGGGCCATATTGATGATATCAAGAAATTCCTCATGCTATTTAACTAATTGAACTCTTAAGATAAATAATCCACGGGGCTGAATTTCTAAATAGCTTAAACCACATGCAGGAAATGTTCTAAAAAGCTTTCCTATAAAGCTTTGCTGGCTTGCAGGGAAAGGGTGACCCTCAGCCCACATTTTCTGTCTGCCCCAGCTGGACCTCTGATGTTTTGGCATAAAGATTTTACTGTGATGCAATCCCAGACAAAAGGGTTCCCAATCAGGAAAGAGTGATGCAATTTGACCAAACTGGACTTCTAAACCGCGTCTCTCTTTGATCTCACTTATAATTGATTTAGGATATTGCCAAATTTAGCCACTTGCTCTGCTGTTACTCCCTGAATCAGAATTCCCTCCACTCCTTTTGCAGTTCTACAGTAATAACAGGTTCCAAAGCTCACATTTCCAGCTACCGCCCTGAGTTAAACTAATCCAGGACTTTAGCTCCAGTCTTTTACCCTGTTTCAAGCTCTTGATCTACAATTGTGTTTCTCCTTGGAAACCTAACTTATTATTTTTATCTTTATTAGTTGGGGCCTTGCTATCCACTGAGTCTCCCAGCCCAACAGCTTCTTGGACTCCCAGGTATTCCCTGCCACAGAACCTGTGTGTTCTTTGCTAAACTGCTGAGACCTCTTGATAATTTTGGGAACCATGTAATGACAATTTCCCTGAATTACAAACTATTAGAATGCTTTGTCTATATGATAGTAAACCAGAGACGTATAACTGAATTAACTTGCAGACCTGCTTTGTTTGACTACCATAGTGTGGTGAAATTTGTGCATTTGGCCTTAGAGAAGCAATTGACACTGGGATAGCCTCCTCTCCATAATATTTACAATGACAGTTTTTTCTAAGGTGGATAAGTGGCAGTTGATCTGTGTGTGATCTGTGGGAGAAAGGACACAACAACGTTGAGCCCCACCATCACCCTAGTTTTTTTGCCTGAAGGCACTTTTAGACTCTGGCATAGAAAGGGGAAAACCAAAAAGAAGTACAGTCATCACAGTGAGCTAAGGAGACAGAAATCAGAATTCAGAACTACTGACTTAGGGTGAATTTACAAGCCTGGGCAAAGAGGGAAGAAAACTGTGTAGAAAAAGAGCTCTATAAATCTGCAAGGGGTGACCTCAAGTCTTTGGAAAAATATAAAGCTTTGCATTGGCCGATGACACTTCACAAGATCAGGCAAAGAACAGTTACTAGTGAAAGAAAAACTACCAGGAAGGGGACAACTGCTAGGAAACTGGGAATTGAACAACTGTAGGTGCGCATGCAGGACTGGGGCACTTAAGACTGGAGTGAAGAAGCTTTGGGTAGCTCCCCATGTGTTAAGCAGAGACCCCAGTCTAGATAAATCCAATCTGGCCTTAAAGAAAAGGCTATTTTTTTCAGATGTAAGGTCCTGCAAAGATAAGGAGGACTCTTAAAAAAAAAAAAAGCTGTTAGACAAGTAAATTAACTACCTGTGAGAAAAAAGACAACACTCACTTTAAAAACTCAGACACTCAATGATGCGGCATACATAACGGCCAGCATATGATTAAAAAACAAAACAATAAAAAGCAAGAAAAGACCCATAATCACAAGAAAAATCAGCCAATAAAAAAAGAAACAGAATCAAAATTGACAAATATGATGGAATTAGCAAATTAGCACTTAAAATGAGTATTATCAATATTCCTGTTGAATTAAAAAAAAGATGACAAAACAGAGGAATGTAGGGGAAAGGAAGGAGAAATAGAAAAACAAACAAGGAGGCAAACCATAAGAGATTCTTCAATACAGAGAACAAACTGAAGGTTACTAGAGGGGAGGTGGGTGGGGGATGGGCTAAATGGGTGATGGGTATTAAGAAGGGCACTTGTTGGGATGAGCACTGAGTGTTGTATGTAGGTGATGAATCACTAAATTCCTCTCCTGAAACCAATACTACACTGTATATTAACTCACTTAAACTTAAATAAGATCTTGGAAGAAAAAAAAAAAAAGAACAACTAAAAAATACCAATAGGGGTATTTTTATGGAGAAATGGAAATCCAAACACTGAAAAATACAATTCTGAAATTTAAAATTCTGCAGATTAAACATCAAAAAATAAATGATTAGTGGAAACTAGAAACTACCCAAATTGAAACACAGGAAAGGATAAAATAAAAATGAGAATCTCAGTCATCTATGGGACAACCCCAAGTGGTCTATACTAAATTTAACAGAGCTATTAGAAGAAAAGGAAAGAATGAATGAATGAAAAAGTGAGCAAAACATATTTAAAGAAATAATGGCTAAATTTTTCAAATTAAATTAAAAACATAAACTTATGGAACCAAGAAGTTTAGAAAAATATTTTAAATGTTTATCTTTGAGAGAGAGAGAGAGAGAGAGGAGACGGAGAGAGAGAGAGAGAGGGAGAATGTGAGCGGGGAGGGGCAGAGAGAGAGAAAGACAGACATAGAATCTCAAGCAGGCTACAGGCTATGAGCTGTCAGCACAGAGCCCAACATGGGGCTCAAACTCAAGAACTGCAAGATCATGACCTGAGCCAAAGTCAGACACTTAAATGACTGAGCCACACAGATGCTGCGGAACCAAGGCATTTAAAGAACCCTAATTAAGATGCATTCAAATAAAACCACACCAAGAATTTGTTAAATTTCAATAGATACTCATTATATAGATATAGAAGATTACTCTCACACAGATAAAAGCCAGCTACAAAAAAACACCTATAAATAACATCATATTTAACATGTCCTCTAAGATAAGAAAAATGCAAGTATGGTCACTCTGATAACTTCTACTGTTCATGGTACTGGAGGTGCAAGAGAGTGACAGAGGAAGAAAGAAGTCAAAGGCATAAAGTTTGGAAAGGAAGGAGTAAAAGTATGTTTATATCTTGTAAACATGATCAAGTGTATAGAAAATGCTAAGGAACCTAAAAAACAAAATAAACAGAAACCCTATTTAATCAGTGAATTTGGAAGTCAGAATACCAAGATCAATGCATAAAAATCAATGAACTCATTTCTATTTCCTATCAATGAGCAACTGAAAAGTGAAATTTTCAAAATACCATTACGATAGCAACACAAAACATTTAGGGTTAAATTTAACATGTCTGTAAGACCTGTACACATAAAACCAAAAATGAAAAAAAAGCTGAGAAAAATCAATGATAACTAAATAAATTGAAAAGCATATAATGTTCATGGATTGGAAATCTCAATACTGTTAAGATTTCAATTCCCTCCAAATTGGTTTACAAATTTAATACAATTCTAATCAAATCCCAGCAGGCTCTAACATAGAAATTCACAAGATAATACGAAAATCTATAGAAAAATATTGTTTTCAGAAATAGGTCAACACTTTGAAAAGAAAAAAGGAGGAAGGCAACAGTTTCTGACTTCATCACTTACGGTGTGGAGCTTGATTGGGATTCTCTCCCTCCCTCCCTGTCTCTCTCTCTCTCTCTCTCTCTCTCTCTCTCTCTCTCAGTCCCTCCCCAGCTTACAGGCATAGTGCTCTCTCTCTCTCTCAAAATAAATAAGTAAAAACATTTTTTTAAAAAGGAAGACTTTAAAAATAAGTGCTCAACATCATTAGTATCTGAAATGCAAATTAAAAAATATAGTGTGATACCAGTACCCATTTACTAGCATGGCTAAAATTAAAAACTCTGATAACTTCAAAAGGTGGTAAGAATATATGTAGAACATGGGAATTTATATTCATTTCTAGTGGAAGTATAAAATAGTACAACCTCTTTGGAAGTAGTTTTTCCAGTTTCTCATAAAGTTCAACACACATCTAGCCTTAGCTCCCACCTGTCTCCTCTATAAAACAACTGCATGTTTAACATGTTTACGTTAGCTGTGTCTCCTTTAATACTTTGCTTTAACCGACTAGATGAAATTGTGCCATCCAAAGAGCTATTAGGTCCAAAGACCTATCCAAGTAAATTCTTATTTGGAGCCCTTCCTGTCATCTTTTTGATGAAAGACATAGAATGCTTTGTCAATGAATCCAGAAGGATCCTTATGTATAATGTATTAATATGAGCTCAGGTATCACCACTGAATTGCAGCATTACCTGGTCCAGAACAGAAGCCAAGTAACAAACACACACCTCTGGTACCACGAGATGTACGCAGACCAGACTAGATTATCTGTAATACTGATGTAATATCAGCACAGATCTTCCAGTCTAGTGGACATACTTGTCCTTTCACATCCCTGATACCATTCATACATAACCATTCAGAGCATGGCTTTTTGTGGACAGGAGCTACTCATGTACCTCTGGCAGGCTGACTTCTGCATCACTCCTAGACTAAACATGATTTTAATTGACTGTTTAATCCTCTCTGACAATAAGTAATTAATTTATGTTATCCCCTATAATTATTTCCCAAAATGCTTGTTTCAGAAAACAAGTCCCACAAAATGCTGCATTCTCCAGGAATCTGAAGTCAAATATATTTGAAAAATATATTTGCCTCCTATATTCCAACTCCCTGCAGATATTCATACCAAATGTTAACACATGAAAGACTCTCAGGGGCCCTTGACTAAAGTAACTTGATTGATTTTGTTTAATCTAGAGTTTAAAGATACTTTATGTATTATAAAAGCCTTTGTCAAATAACACCTGTGAAAATTTTGTGGAAATAAGTAGACTTAACATTTGTTGAGCATTTAATATATTTGTATAAAAGCGAGTAATTGTGCTGAGTGCTTTAAACAACCTTATAAGAGAGTGGTATCATCTGCCTAGTTTAAATATAAAGAAATGGAAGGTCAGAGAGGTTAAGTGATTTTTTCAAGGTTACAGAGTTAGGATGCTCAGAAACCAAGATTCCAACACAGGCCCTCTGAGTTTAGAGTACAAATATTGAATTGCAGTACTATAAAGAGTTCCAGTAGTGTTCTTAAGGAACGAACTTTGGGAAACTGCCTTATATTATCTGGTTGAGTCTTGTTGTTTTACACTGGCTTCTGAGGTGCTGAAGCAATGAACTATCCAGAACCAATCCACTAAGACTTAAGTGCCATATATACTCCAGGACTTTGCTTTTTACTTTCTAGATTGTAATGGAATGTTAAGGTGAAATTTGTTTTTGCATCAGCTTTAAAAAAAGGTTTAAATCCCATTGCAAAATGTAAGAATTATGTATTAACTTCTTTTTTGTTGTTTTTTTACTTTTGGTATACATATTATAGGAGACTAGAATCCGCGATGATTCTGAATGACATGACTGCACATGTGATGAATCATCATGATCTTTCTCTAGATCACTGAAAAACATTCTTGAAGGCATTAATTGTCTGAGGTTCTGTGTTAGGTGAGAGACCCAAAGATAATTTTAGACACACTCTGTTTCAGTAGCAACAGCTCACACAAAAGAGCTTTATCATTTTTATTTATTATAGAAGAAATTAGTAATAGCAACATAGAAATCCTTTTACATATTTTAAGTCATTGTTTAAATAATTTTCATTTTAGCAATTGTGGCTAGTGGTATATTATAAACCTGCTTGAATGTTGTTACATAACATTTAAAATGATCATTTTAAAATTATATTTTTGAGAAGAAATATTTTATATCTTACTTAACTACTTGAATATAATTTGATGGTTGCTATTTATAATGTTTCATTATTATAGATAATGCTTCTAAGAATAGTGATGGGTACATAATTCTCTTTCTGTTATTTGTGCAGGAAAAATTCCAAAAGTATTAAGTCATATGATATGGTCATTTTTATGACCCTTGAACTCTGCCATCAATGGTTTCTAAAAGGGTCTTTACAATTCACCACAATATGTAACTCTACCAGTTTTATTATATCTTTGGTAGTTTTAAATATTTTATTTTTCATTTTTCATGACTGTATTGATATAAAATTATACCTCCTTTTAATAATCATATGGATTTTTTAAGCCACACTTGGGCACTAAGTTACTAAGAGTATAAGAATTAATATTTTGAGTGTCTTCACATAGATGGATATTTTCTTTCAAGATTTTTCAATTCATCTCTGATTCCTTACTATATGCCAGATGTGCTAGGTGCTGGAGCACTGTCTTCTCAATATTTCTTTTTTTCCTTATTCACCACAATGTTACGTTTGGAGTTCACAGACTCATCTGCTGAGTGCATCCATTACCTTTCTGTTTCACCTTGGCTGGTTTGTCAACCTCCCCTTTGGCATTTCTAGCATGACAGACATAGTTGCGCTTGAGATCCTCAGCAGTAACTTTTTTGATGCTCAAAACCTGAGTTCTCGTTTCATCTTCTGTTGTAGTGAAACTTATACTAGAAATAGGGGAAAGAAAATCAAAGCATGAGCAAGGCTGCAGGGCCATGTGCTGTGTGTGAATCAGACAAGTAGACAACCACAGAGCCCCTAGATGAAGGCAGACAGAATGCCCATAGGCTGTGTTGCCCGTGATCCAATGGTTACAAAGAAAGAATAACTTCTAGATTCCAATAACATTTTTTTTTAAAGTTTATCTACTTATTTTGAGAAAGAGAGAGGGAAAGAGAAAGAGAGGGAGAGAGAGAGAGAGAGAGAGAGAGAGAGAGAGAGAGAGAGAGAGAGAGAGAGAGAGAGAGAGAGAATGCATGAGAGTGGGAGAGGGGCAGAGAGAGAGAGAGAGGGAGAGAAGGAATCTCAAGCATGGAGCCCAACACAGGGCTGGATCCCACAAACCATGAGATCATGACCTGAGCTGCAACCAAGAGTTGGATGCTTACCTGATTAAGCCACCCAGGTGCCCCTCCAATAGCAGTCCTTACATTTTATACCACACACAATCCCAGTATCTAGATCAAACCTCTTCGTTGGTAACACATTATAGCTTTCTCTTCAAAGCAAAATGTCTCCTTACAAACTTATGAGACAGGATTCTGTATCAGAGTAGAAAGAAGCTTCTGAGGCCAGATCCATTTGGGGTTTGATCCAATCTCTGTCACTTACTGGCTATATACTTTCAGCACAGTAAGTAATCTTTCAAAGTCTTGCGTTCCTTCTTTGAAAGAGGTAAATAGCAATGCCTACACAGTGTATTACATGTATTAACTTACTCAAGAACCGTGAGGATTGAGTATGTCAATACGTAAGTATCAGAACAACGCTAAATAAATATACATATAGGCTATTATTACCATACACAGCAATAGTTCATATGTTTGAATTCAGGGATTCCCAAAGCTTGAGTTTTGAACACAGGTAGAATATTTTAGTCAAAATGCTGAAAGCCCATGGGTTCAATCTTAACATATTAAAGGAAGAAAATTCTCAAAGCAAGTAAGCTTTATGAAAAATAAATACCTCTGAATCTCCATGTCGGAGATCAAGTGCTTTGGGTCCAAGATCAAGATCTAAAATCCCTGGGAACTACTTGCTATGAAGAGAAAACAAAATCTCTCTCCTATGGCTGACATCCAGGTTCTCCTTCCAATAAGGCTTACCATCAGTCGTGAGAACTTGGTCAAAGCTTATGATGAGTTTAGCCTAAACTCAACTGCACTGCTCCACCAGGAACACTGAGTTGTGCTGAAATTGCAGCAAGGAGGAACATCATGATTTTCATATCATTCATTCATTATTATTATGAGGATAGAAAGCACAATGTTCAGAATTCCTGAAATGATCAGTACTCTCCCTTTGTGCCTCCAGCTACATCTTTAATCAGTTCCTTCTGAAAAAACTGCTCTAATTTCAGGAGGCTCCTTCTGTACCTTTAAATATGCTCTGCTTCTCTAACATCTAGCCATTGCACATGATGTTCCTCTTACCAGGAACATTCTTTCTATTTCTTTACCTGGTTTATTTCTACTCATCCTTCAAATCTTTATGTAGGTACTATACCATCTGGGAAGCACTGCCTAATCCTCCAAAATGGACTGGACTCCTTAACTGAAGCTTCTGATAACCTCTAATACTTTCCAATCACTACATTTATCACAATTATTGAAATTTCTGCTCTATCACTCTTACTCCGATAAAATCTACTCAGTTAGGGACTAAGTATCTTGCATAGCACCTGCTGTAATGTAGACATTTTGTAACTTCTGCACAAAGTCTGACTTTACTACTAGGAAAGACATATCTTTTGATTTCTAGAAGTTCAAGTAGCCAAAGATCTATTTGCACATCACGTTAAGGCCTGAGGTTTTAGAACTACTTTGTCATGTAGTTGGTCAGCTGCTGATTTTTATTTATTATTGTTCTGAACCAATTGTTATCTTGCAATTGTCTGCTTCATTTCCAGAAGAATCTTTTTTCAAAGACCCGTATTTTCCTTCCTGCCAACCCTATGTCCTTAAAAAAAATTATATTTATCTAGAATTAAAATGAGGGTGCCTGGGGGGCTTAGTCTGACTTTGGCTCAGGTCATGATGAGTTTGAGCTCCACATCAGGCTTTCTGCTGTCAGCTTAGAGCCTGCTTTGGATCCTCAGTCTCCCTCTCTCTTTGTCCCTCCCCCACTCATGCTCTCTCTCTAAAACACAAACATTAAAACAAAAAAAAATAAATAAATAAAATGACTCAGCTTGTTAAAAATAAAATTTAAAGAATGTATTTAGTCAGTATTTTAAAAAATGATTATCAATTATAAAGGTGACATGCATGCTATGTGAGATAAGAATGAGGAGGAAGAAGAAAGGAAATGTATGCTTATTGCAAGACAAGAAACACACAATTTAGCTGAGGCACAAATACAGAGGCCTAGACTCCAGACTTGAGAAAGAAAAGAACAGGGCCACACTGACCAGCTTACACGTATCCAGGGCCCTATATTGTAGTTTTTCATGCATGTGGGCTACACATCCCATCTACTCTGAAGGGAGAATCATGAATGTGTGATTATCAGAAGGTATCTGGGTCTTGAATTGCAAATCCAGGAATTCTGCTTTGGAATGCAGCCACTAAAGACTTGAAAATCTTGCTGATTTTTGGTAATGATGGGGAAAAGTCAGGGTTGTTACTTTCAATGATTAGTATATACCCAAGGGCATTAGACTGAGGACAAATGTTGGTCACCCCTTGTCTGAGCCAACAGTACCTTTCATTGACAGTTACATCAATATTGGAGTCGTCTGGCTTTTTTCCATCAATGGTCCACCAAACCTCATTGCGGGCATCTTTCAGGAAAGTAAAATAGACTGTACAAGGGATGAGTAGCTCCTCACCTAAAATAACAAGTTAACCCATCAGGGTGTACCCTTCACATGGCAATAATGGTTCCACTCTGATTAATCAGAAGCTATAAAAGTATACTTAAAACTCTACTTCTAAGTACTTTTCAAGTGGCCTGTCACAGTAATGTACCATACTTCATTACAAAATAAACAAACCAAGAAAAAAGGTGGAGCAGCTTTATACCAAATTTCCAGAATGACCATCTTTTTATACAATCCATGTATATTCTACTATAACAGTATTTGTTCAAAGAGGCTCTGTCAACATACTTGGAGCCCTAAACTTCCATGGACTACTCTTATCCTTTATTTCTCTCATAAACAGTGACTGAGGAGAGGTTCTCCAGATTGTTGGAACTTGGCCCAGAAAATACAGGGTAATGCCAATGCTGAGAGGCAGGTCAGGTCTGGCTATAAGGGTGCAGTCAATAAGTTTAAATATCATTTACATATATATTTATATATAGTGAATATTATATGTAGTTAATATATATAGTGAATATTTATATATTTATAAATATTAGTATTTATGAATAACATTCTCTGCTATCTTTCCAAGATGGAACATGAGGTCAGGGGGATCCGGAGGCAGAAAATGATAATAATGAGACAAAGAGCAGCAGCATACTTACTAAGACCTTTATATAATTTGCTGTGATAAATATTTATATTTATTAGTGGTCTCATTTAATTTTAATAAGATACTATGGGGTATTTTTAAAATCCACCTTTTATAGATGTGCAAACTAATGCTTAAAGATGTTAAATGCCATTCCTAGATGAAATTGTTAATAAGTGGCAGACCAGAATTTGACCCAGAATGACTTCCATTCCAGCTTACCCAGGACAGCTCTGTTCTATGCCTACTTTCCTAGTTAGTTATTGATATCAGCTGCTTTCACTCTCAGAAAGTGTGCAGGTTGAGATGACAAATTATATTGTCATCCAAATTTGAACTCAGGTATGTCTCACTGAGTGGTCCTACTCCATCCCTTCCTCTAAGATGCATGGTTCTTACGCCTTCCCCTTCAGTTTCTATATTAATATGCAGGAAGGAAACATGAACATAGATTTTGCAATCATACGGTAGGTAGAGGTAGATGAAACACACTAGATCATTCGTAAGGGTTCACCTGAGAGCAGGAAGAATGTACATATTACTATACAAAGCCACTGAGAATTCTGGGAAATGTGGTCCATTTGGGATTGGCGGACCTCTTAGTGTGTTCTTTGTTTGTTTGTTTTACAGGCAGCTCACTATTTGAAACTTTATCTTAATTTTAGGAGGGCATCATTGTTTTCTACCTACATTTGATCACGACCTCTGCTATCTTTAGTAGATTTTAAAAATATGTTCTTTTATACCTTTCATTGGGTTTGGAGGGAATTTATTGTAAAGGATACAATATAGAAACTCTTAAAATTTTCTATGGTTTTCAGTTTAACTGTGGGAGGCTTTGAGCCAGAAGAATAACAAATTATGCCTTATTCGGTTGGTCACAGAAGATTTTTGTCCAGAATGGAAAATTATGAAAACTAAAAGGAGCCCCAGACAGCCACAGGAAGCACCCAATAGTGTTCTGATCAAGCTGTATGAGGTCTACCAGTTGTTATCCGTTAAATTCATAGTCCTCCTTTGATCTCCTGCCCTCGCCCCTCTGCAGTGGAGTAAAAGCTTAAAGGAAGTCTTGTGCTCATGTTGCAGTCTTGGAAAACACAAGGCCTGTGCAAGCTAATGTGTGCATCACACAGAAATCACTAATCAGGAGAGGGGAGCCACTGCAGAGGACGAAGGGAGCAGCTGCGGAGAGAGAAGCCGAGAATCCCAGAGACACCCAAGAGATGGACGAAGGAGCTAATCCCCAGAGCTGCCTTCGTTTCTGACACCATTTCAAGTTTCACTTCATGTTGTTTCCCTACAATAGCCCTCTATTCTCATACTTTAACTTAAGTGACATTTTATTCCTTGTAATTAAGAGAATCTAACTGAAATTAAGAGGCACAGCTATAATTACCTGGCTCTTTCTCGTAGACTACAAGATCATTGGGTGAATAGATCTGAGGAGGCAATGCGTCTTTTGGAGAGCCTATGTTCGAGAGGAAGAGACAAAAGGGAGATGATGTTAAATCACGTAGCCCTTATCTCTCATAACCCATTTCCAAGATTTGCTCTTTTGTAAACTTTTGTCCAACTTCCTGGCATCGTTTGGCAATTCTTCCTGACAGGGCCAATAGCTCAATGTACAGTAAATTACAACACTTCATTCATTTAAAACAAACAAAGAGACATACATAAAATACTAAGTAGCTTCCATGTTTCAGGACAGAAGATTTAACCAGTGTTTTTGCTTTCCAAAGCTTACATGAAATATACTTCTAATAGTATAAGATAAATTGCTTTCATGTCTTACTCAATTGTTTCTTTTCTACATATTTCTCCAGAACATGCTTGAGTGTCTAGTATGGGACTTGGCTAAATAAGTAAATATTAAGTAAACAAATATGTAAATGGAAAATTCAAAATCACATTTATGAAGCCAGCACACAAGTCTACCTGATGTCTGTGTCAGTTGACTGTTAATTCGTAGGATTGCTGCTCTTTATAACATTCTATATTTCTAAATTGAAAGAAAAATACCCCCACGGGGTTTTACAGTGTCATGTTTAAGAGTAAAGGCTTCAAAGATTTAACAACCAGGGTTCTTATCCTTAGTTGGTCATGTACTAACCATATGACTCTGGGTTGTTACTTAATCTTTCAAAAGCTAATTTTCCTCACCTCTAAAAGGAGGATAATTAAACTCACTGCACAGGTTCATTATAAGAATTAAATTAAATCATGCATATTAAATTAAGTAATGCATATTAAAACATCCTATTGGTATATTATAAGTACTCAATACTTCACAGCTTTAAAAAACAAACTTGTATTTTGCTTGAAGGTTAGATAAGAACCACACCTCACATCAGCATCTGTCAACTTCCGTATTTATAAAGGTGACCAAGCATGCCTATTCTCAACTTTCCTAATCCTGAATTTAAGAATCTATATCAGAAATAATTTCCAAGATGAATTTAAGGTTAGATTATTCATTTGGCTTTTTAAGGCCATTCACGTTAAGTTCTCTCTCTTTTTTTAATGTTTATTATTTTGAGAGAGAACGAGAGAGTGCAAGCACAGGATGGGTGGAAAGAGAAGGAGAGAGAGAATAGCAAGCAGGCCCCACACTGTCAGTGCAGTATGGGGTTTGAACTCACAAACAGTGAGATCATGACCTGAGCCACCTGGTATCCCCATTCATGTTAAGTTAAAAATTTAGTCTGATTTTTCTTCTGAATTAGTTCCCAGCTCAGCATTATTCCAAAAGTAGGAAGAGGAAGAGGAGAGGTGATTACAAAATTTTTCAGTTTGAATTTTATTTGTACTATTATGTTAAAGCCCTTAAAAATTATGCCCAAATTATGTCAAACTAGTAGAGAAGGCCCTGAACCAAGAATAAGAAACCTGGGATTTGGAATCACTTCTTCCACTAACAGAGCATCTCTAAACAGTTTACTTTGATTTTTTTGTTTGTTTTTTTGTTTTTAATTTTTATTTATTTATTTTGAGGGGGGAGGGGGGAAGGGAGTGGGGGAGGGGCAGAGAGAGAAGGTGAGAGAGAATCCTAACCAGGCTCCATGCTCAGTGGTCAGCATGGAGCTCAACACAGTGCTCTATTTCACCACCTTGAGATCATGATCTGAGCGGACAACAAGAGTAGGACACTTAACCCAGGAGCCCCCAAAACAGGTTACTTTGTGTTGTTGTGTCTCAATGACATCTATGAAAAGATGGGGTGTGAAACGTTTTCACTCTGATATGCTCTCATTTTGAATACCATGGGCACAGGGTATTCAGGGCTCTCCCCTAAATGCCACCTATCCTGACACTGGTCCTCTTGATTTCTGGATTTGACAGTCTTTTGACTATGGCCTGGATATTGTCCTTTCCACTTTCCTCATTTCCCACCACCTGTTCTCTCGTGGCAAAGCAATGGTTGAACCCTGCCAGCAAGCAGCTCCATCTACAACAGTTCCAGTACATAGAAAGACAGAGCTCATTTAATTCAAACACAACACCTTTTTTGACAATAATATTAACTACTATTCATTGAGTTTCCACTCTTTGCCTGGAACTGGATTAACATAATATATATATTATTTCTGATATTCCCAACTATACTGAATGTGAGGTTCTCTTAGTCCCAGAGGACAGACAAGGAGACTGAGACCCTGAGCAAAGGCATTTTGCTAATAAATGGCATGGGTACAAGTTGAACACAGATTCACCCGGCACTGTTTCCACTCCTCATTCATTCATATAGACCAATGATTCATGCAGTACACTGATAGGTATTGAGTGCCTACTCTGAATGTGGAATGTGTTGTGGCTCCAGCACAATGAACAAAAAAGATCAACCTCTTTTCTCATAGAATTTACATACCTGTTTGTAATAAACTATCAAGAGCCAAAACAAAATTACTGCATTTTGCTGTGTGCACTTAGTACAAAACCATGCTTACCTACCACCTTCACAGTCAGAGTCCTAGTGAGATGGAAGGTACGCCCGTTTTCTGGATATGTAACAACACATGTGTAATCTCCATTGTTTGAAACCAAGGCTATGAGAAAGCTCAAGCTCATGCCTTCAGGTACTACATTATTAAAGTTCTGTATTTTATGGCAGCCCTAGAAGAAGGAAAAAAAGACATTCAGTATTGAGATACATGCATGGAAAATATACAAATGCACGTATATATACACACATCTAATTTTACATGGAACATACAAATATCTATGCTGGCTGCACCTTTTACAAACTATTTTGGTCCAGTACTTAATGATATTTCTGTAAAGAATGAATGTGATGTTTCATTATATTTTATGCAAAATGAAAATAGGAATTCTAAACTGAGATATGAATTCAAAAGCATGGGCTTCCTGTCTCAGGATCCAGTATTTGAATTTTGGAAATCCCACATTAGTAGTTAAATAAGATTAAAGTTGTGAAAACAACTAGGGCAACTTAAGAAAATGCATCTGCTGCCATTTAAGAAACACTTAGTTTTCCTATCTCCATTTATTCACTGATTATATTAATTTGGGAGTCCAGCCACTCTGCTAATTCAGGCTTAGTTTAGGTGTCTGGTTCTGGCAGTCTTTTCCTTTTTTTTAATATTTATTTTTGAAAGAGAGAGAGTGAGAAGGAGAGAGAATCCCATGCAGACTCCATGCTCAGAGCAGAGCCTGATGTGGGGCTCGATCCGATGATGGTGAGATATTGACCTGAACGGAAATCAAGCGTCAGATGCTTAACCAAATAAGCCACCCAGGCGACCCTGAGGTTTTGGCATTCTTGATCACCCTGTTGAATCACTCTATCAGTCGCTTCCAAACTTTTTTGTGTTTTCCTTATTTATTTTACAATCCAATATTACAGACTTCAGAATCTAAAACTAAAAGATATTTTATGAGTCTGACGAAGAGTGAAGTTTATTTCTATTCTAACTTATATTTTCATATACTTCTGTTGATTTTTAAAATTTGAGAGTGTAATAGCTCATGAAACATAATTGGACTCCTGTTTTGGCTCTCTGATTCCCACTAATTGGCTTATTGTTTTATTTTATTTTATTTTATTTTATTTTATTTTATTTTATTAATAAAAAAATACAGCGGTGCCTGGGTGGCTCAATCAGTTAAGCGTTGGACTTCAGCTCAGGTCATGATCTCATGGCTCATGAGTTTGAGCCCCACGTCAGTCTTTGTGCTGACAGCTCAGACCCTGGAGCCTGCTTGGGATTCTGTGTCTCTCTCTCTCTCTGTCTCTCTCTCTCTCAAAAGTAAACATTAAAAAAAACTAAAGAAAAAATACAGCATCTGTGACAAAATTATGTGTTGAACAGTTACTTTTAGAGAAACTTTGTTTTCTTTAAAAAAAAA